CCTCAATAAAATGTTTGAATTTAGGATTAGGCAAATCCTTCCAACTAGAAACAGTATAATCTTGTATGCCCACATTCTCAATAGCATTCTTAACATTAATCGGTAAACCAATAGGTAAAGCCCAAATGCCATGAACAACAAAATCCTTAACCTCTCTGAAATAAAACCGAGCATCACAAAAGGTTTCACCCAGAATAGAACCATCCAGCCAGGGATCCCACATAAAGGAGAGATTACAATTACATCCAACAGAAAAGGAGAGGAACTGCTTAATTTTCAAAGCCACATCACATATACCTTTCCAGAAAATAGAAACAGAGGTCATAGGTGGTTTAAAAGGGGATTCAAACTTAGCTCTCAACCAAGAACTAACAAGGGAATTTGAGTTATACAGCCTCCAAATAAAGGAACAAGCCGCAGCAAAATAAAAGGCATCAAACGAAAGAATGCCAAGACCTCCATATCTTTTAGGCTTAGTGATGTTATGCCAAGCAATGAGGTGCAGTTTCTTATCATTAGTGTTACCATGAAGTAAAAACTTAGAGCAAAGCTTAGAGATAAAAGAACGACAAGCTTTAGGCAGTATAGAGCCACGTATCCAATAACTAATCGTGTTGGCAATAGTAAATTTCAGATATTGTAGTCTCCCAACAAAAGATAAAAACTTGACCTTCCAACCCGCAAGGAGACCATTAATCCTGTTGAGGAGAGGGAGAAAGTGGCAAAATTTAAGCCTCCTGGGGGAAATGGGAATTCCCAAATAAGTTAGGAAGGAGCTCGGTTGCTTAATACCCAGCAATTCAGCAATAGTTTGAGCAGTAGAGGTGTCCTTTGCAAAGAGAATAGAGCTTTTGTTTGGATTAATCGTAAGATTAGAGGCAGCCCCAAACTGATTTAAAGCATCCTTTAAAGAGGTAACATTCTGCACCGAAGCTTTACCAAAAAATAAAAGATCATCCGCATACATAAGATGGTTAATATGAACCCCATTACAGATCATACCCGAGATATTGGGAGATTGGAGGCAGGAAGAAAGAGCATCCATGGCAACACAGAAAAGCAAAGGGGAAAAGGGGCAACCTTGTCTGAGACCAGAGGTGGAGGGGAAAAAGCCTTCCAAAGAGCCATTAATACATATGGAGAAGGAAACATTAGTAATACACCCTTTAATCCACTTAATGAAGAGTTCAGGGAGACCTTTGCACTTCAGACGATCAAGGAGAAAATCTCTAGAAAGGGAATCGAAAGCTTTTTTAACATCAAGCTTGGCACAAAATAAATTACTACCAGCTTTAAAGTCCCTTAACAACTCCGCAGCAAGGATAATGTTATCTGAAGCAGTTCTGTTTGCAATGAAACCAGCCTGATTATTATGGATGATGTGAGGAAGCACAACCTTCAATCTATTAGTAATAAGCTTAGCAATCACTTTGTAGAACACATTGCATAAAGAAATGGGTCTATAATCTGAAATGTGCGAGGCATGAGAGATCTTAGGGATAAGAGCAATAGCAGTGGCTTTAGCGGCTCTAGGCATGTAACCCGAAATGAAAAAAACTTTTAAACGCCTTACAAAATTGAGGACCCAACAAATGCCAAGACTTCTTGTAAAATTCAAACGTAAATCCATCAGGGCCAGGAGCAGCCATGGATTTATCATAGAAAACAATGCTCTTAATCTCATCATCCGAAAAAGGCTGAATAAGTCCAGGCCGAAGAGGAGAAGGGACCAAATTGCCCACAGGAAGGGAGTTCTCCACAGATCGATTTAGAAGAGGAGCAGAAAAAAGAGTTTGGAAATGACTAATAACTGCTTCAGAGATGCTAGCATGCGAAGAGAAAGAACCAAGGTCAGTAGTAATTTCTCTAATAATATTTTTGTTCTTCATAGCTTTAATTTTGCCAAATAAGAAGCCCAAATCATCTTCACCCTTAGTGAGCCAAAACGCTTTAGCACGTTGAGTTATCCAAGAGGACCAAGCCATTTGATAAGAGGCTAAATGATCATTAACTTTCTTGAGATTACTGTTCAAAAGAGCACACAAAGGCCTAGATTGGATATCTTGCAGCAGAATAGCTTGTTGAGAATGTAAATCCAAAATGGAGTTGGATAGATAATTGGAAGAGACCCAATTTTTGCTCTTAAGGGATCCTTTAAGCAGCCTAAGGCTTTGATAGAAGGAGCAAATGGGGCTACCCAAGGAGGGTCTATCAAAAGCAAGTAATACCTCATCCCAAAAGGAATCAAATTTCACCCAATAGTTCTTGAACATAAATCTGGCCTTAGGAGAGTCAGAGACTTTATCCATGAAGATGAGTGGCGAATGATCCGAGCCACTAGGGGGAGCAACCTTATAAAATGCAGATTGAAGAAGATTGAGGAGAGCTGGGTTAACCAAAACCCGGTCAAGCTTAATATGGATAGGCGTGTCAATCCTCTGGTTGAACCACATGTAATAAAGGCCAGCAGAAGCAAGATCCTGAACACCACAGTCAAAAATACATTTATTGAGCTCACCTAAAGAGCTAGGATTGATCGGGTTGCCACCAGATTTCTCATGATCAAACCTACAACAATTAAAATCACCAAGAATAATCCAGGGTTGGTCATCAGGAGGTGAATGATTACGGAGATCATCCCAAAGCTCCTTTCTATCCTTCACATCATTAGCAGCATAAACCACAGATAAATGAATCGAGGGAAAGTACCAGAAACAAAAGTGCCACTGATCAGTTGAGATGAAGTGAAGGTAGGATTAAAGGAGACGCAGGATTTGTCCCATTTAATCCAAATTCTCCCAGGGGAGGAGAAACAGAAATTGTTGTAACTAGATTCCTCATCGAAGACTTTGTGAAGATTAAGAAACCACGGGTCCAAGGTGGACTGCACCTGAATTTTAGCTTCCAAAATGCACAACATTTTAAGACTATAAGAAGAGACAAGATCTTTACAAAACCTGACTTTTTCAGGACTATTGAAGCCCCTCACATTCCAGCTAGCAAAGGGAATGCAAGACATTAATAACAGGAACCCTTAGCCTTTTTGTTGGGTTTAGGCTTACCCTTTTTGGATTCCTTAACATTTTTGTACTTCAATTTAGAACTGGAATTAGAATTGCTCTCAGAGGAGAAGCTTTGCTCAATAGAAGAAGACATAGGTATGGGGGAAGAGTGCAGTATCAATCCAGCCTCAGCCACAGGGATATCAATCAGCACATTAGAGGAATCCTCTAAAAAGTCATCTTCTGGAAGCAGGGAGATAAACTTATTGGAGGTCGGGACAAAGGGTGGGGGAAGACAGGAGGGGGAAGAGATATCCGGAGATGAGGATATCTCAGTGGGTAAGTTGAGATTGGGAAGAGGCTGACTAGAGGGGACAATGGGCTGGTGAGGTTTGGGGGAACCAAGAAGGGGTGGGGAAGTGACAATAGTTGGTGGAACATCCAAGGAGGGTGAAACAGGGATGATGGGCTCAACAGAGGGTGGAGTAAGACCAGCTGAAGTGGGAGCTGGCAGAGGATTTACAGAAGTGTGACGTGGAACAGGAGGTTTAGCCGAGGAGCTGGGATGTCTGGCAGCGGGATTTCTGTTGGAGCTTCTACCCCTGGGACGAGTAGGAAGCGGAACAGAAGGCTTGGGGTTTGGATTTGAGGAGCAAAGAGAGAAAGGATGAAAAAGAGAGCCACAACCTTCACATGGAGAGGGTTTCCAGTCATATACGACCTTCAGATCCAAGTCATCGCCGTCAATCTCTATAGGAATAATCTCAGGAAGAGGAGAGTCCTTATTGATCTGCACGCAAACTCTTGCGAAGGTAAGACGGGTGCGATTAGCGGTGAGGGAGTCCACAGAGATCGGAATACCAACATAACTGGCAATCCTAGAGATTCCGGAAGGAGTCCAGAGAGCAAGAGGAAGGTTGATGATTTTAATCCAAATCGGTATAGAGGCCGATTCGTCCTAACCGGTTGAAATTTCGAAGACCACCTCTGAAGAATGAATGGTTTACCGAGCAAAAACCACGGACCCCCCGACCAGACCATATCCAGATCTTCCGTGCATGAAAATTTCATCAAGAAAAAACCATCTGCTAGAGAAAGGAGAGACATCGCACCTTTGAGGTTCCAAACCTTTTTCATGGCAGAAAGGAGCCGTTCATAATACGGTCTTGGCCCGATAAAATAGCCAACGAGCGAGAGCGACCAGATGGATGAACCTTCAGAAAGATCTTCAGACTTGAATGAAAGCTTCTTACTTGGCTGGACAAAGGACATGCAAAAAGCAGGAGTCTTCACCGTGGAAGAGGAAACATTATCCGCATAGCTACCAGATTTTAAAGTAGGAGCAGGACCCAGGATGGGGGAGGTGGAAAGAGGAGGAAAGTCGTGTGGGGCGAACTCCATTGCTGGAGAGAGACCCCTTCCCCGGAGGGAAGAAGCAGGCGATGGAAGCAGCAAGGCGGCGCGGCTGGAACTGCCAAAACCCTAGCAGAGCTCTCCTAGCAAATCATTCAATGCCAAAAAAAAAAAATAATAATAATATTTGAACTAGATCATCTATTTATATTGTTGAGATCTTCTTATCAGAAGTCATATTATTTTTTTAATTTATTTATATGACAGTTACAGCTAATGTTTAGAAAGCTTAGCTAGCAACTTATTAAAGGAATTATATATATATATATAATTTTTAAAAATATATTTATTAATTGTATATAACATTTACAAAATTTAGAGATTCATTAAAAGTCTCATAACGATGGTTTGGTTGCAAATAGAAAATGTGTTTGAAAAATAAAAAGAATTTGTATTATATTAATTAGTTGGATGTAAGTAAAAATAAATATATTTCTTTGAAATGTTATTGCTCCTATTATTATTATTATTATCATTTTAGATTCCATGCTAAAACTCGTTGGATGACATTGAATTTCATGTTTATGCATAAATAAATAATATTGACTTTTTTCCAATATTAAAAGAAGTTGAGTTGGCACTCAGGTGGCGGAGCATTACGAGAAGGTGATCGCAACGGACATAAGCGCCGCCCAGCTCCGCGTAGCCACTCCACATCCCAACATCCAGTACATCCACACACCAATCTCCACCCCGCCCGACGGCCTCTTCCCTCTTCTGGGCATTGACGTCGGCTCCGTCGACCTGATCACCGTCGCCCAGGCTATCCACTGGTTTGATCTTCCCCTCTTCTTCTCTGTCGCCTCTCGCGCCCTCCGCAAACCCGGCGGCGTCATTGTCATTTGGGGCTACAATGATGTCAGTGTTTCCCCAGTCTTCGATGCCGCCTTTCGCCGCTTCCACAGCACTACCCTCCCGTTTTGGGACTCGAGGATAAGGTACCTCTTCGACGCATACAGGAGCCTGCCATTCCCGTTCGAGGGCGTTGGGCTGGGTTTCGAGGGAGAGCCCAAGTTGCTTGATTTGGAAAAGGAGGTGTCCTTTGAGGGCTTGATGGCTATGGTTTGGTCGTGGTCGGCGATTTTGACGGCCAAGGAGAGAGGAGTGGATTTGCTTGATGATAGCGTGGTGGGGGAATTGAAGGAAGCCTGGGGCGATCAGTTTGTAAGGAAGGTTATTTATAAGGCTTTCATGTTGGCGGGGAAGCCTAGATCCGAGGTGTACAGCTAGCTAGGTGTTGATCCACAAATTAGACAAATTATTCGACCTAATTAAATAAATGCATTCCCCTTTTATTCATTTCTATTTTTTTATTTTTTTTTGGAAAATTATAGGGGGAATCCACATTCATTAAATGAAAAAAAAAAATTTATATATATAAAAAGGCCTTCAAAAAGGCAAATACAACATGTAAACGACTGAAAACTAAATTTTGTAGATAACAACCTAAAAAATAAGATTGAAACTAAAACAAACTAGGGCAAACTAAAAGGCAAAATGCCCACATGATTCAGGAAGAGAAATACTTCCAGCAAAAATCCCCAAAGGAAGAGCCAAACCTGGTTACCAAGGCTAAGGACTTTCCATGGAAATAAAAATCCAAAAAACCTAGATCTAATAAACTTACCTAGGATCAAAGCCAACAAAATTGTCGAAGGAACAGCTGAAATACTTCACCAAAAACCTGAGAGCAATGAATAAGGAGCATAAAGTTGGAGAACGAAGAATCAAGAAGATTCATCCAACAAAAATGAATATCTCAACCATGAATTGCCTCCAAGATTGTCAACAAAGCAATGATCAGCCAGGTAGTGAAGGAAGGTCGCCTTATCATTATCCAAAAACCCTCAACAGATGAATAGAAGCATTCCCAAATGTAGCAGCAGTAGCAGAAACAACATATATAATGGAAGTAACTAGCACTAGAGGATGAAAGACACCACCAATAATACATAAGGAAGCCAAAAGCACTCGAGATTAAATGCAGCATAACCATATAAAGAAAAAATTCGAAATAAAAGACTTAAATACCTATCAGTGTTCTTCCAACGAGAGAACCTTGCTTTAACAACCCTTCCAATCTAAACTAAAATAGTCTTATTGCATGAATGAGACTGATCATACCTTCTGCCATTACGCTCATGCCAAATGTAATAAATGGAGGCGCAAATGGTTAAATAGTAGTAAAATTTAGAATTCAAAGAAAGCATATTGATCACCATGAATATAATTAAATACTTGAAAAATGTTAGGTCTCGTTAGAAAAATGGCAACACCAGGAAAGACAATCTTTAAAATGTTAAAGGAACAATCACATTCATAAAACTGGTAAAAGAAACATATTTGTCAAAGTAATTACAAAAAAGACCAAAAGGATTAACAAGGATATTTCTAATAATAAGTTGATCTGCAGTCTTAAGACTACCAACTAGAGCAAACCAAACAAAAGAAGATAACCTCAAATAGTTTCTATTGTGCTAGATAATTAAACCAATCAACATCCTCATATCTTTTATAATAATCCAATAGAAAACTCTTAAAGGTAGGATGTTCATATTCACACAAGTAGAAGTCATAATGAGCATTAGAAATATTTCTAATAGATATAGAATTATGAAGAGAAGGGTTTACAAACACCAGAAAATGCAATATCATCCACAATAAAATTATAGGGGAGAAAAAAAAAAGAACAAGGGGAAATTTCAGTCAGAGACTTCCCAGCACACCAGGGATCTCACCAAAGAGAAGTTCTATTAACTACAATAATGTTAAAAGAGATTTTGTTAAATCAAATTAACACCTTTGTCAGGTGCTTCCAAAAGGTAGAAGTTTTCCTAATAATAGGTTTCTATAAAAAGATAGAAGAGTTCTTAAACCAACTACTGAGAATTGGAAATACATCTCCAAATCATATAAAAAAGGAGAAAACATAGATCGAAGTAAAAATAGAAGAAAGACTAGGGCTTCCTAAATGCTTAAATACATTAGTATTCTTCCTATAAATAATATGAAGCTTCTTGCCATTAATATTACAATGAAAAAGGAATCTAGCACAACACTTATCAATAAATTTGCAACAAGATTTTGGTAGTATGGAACCCTTGATCTAGTATGCAATGGAGTTCCATATGTTAAATTTGATTAACTAAGCCTTTCACCCATCATATATATATATATATATATATATATATATTTGGACTAAGGGAGAGAAGTCAATAACTCTAAGCCTTTTGGCCGCAATGGGAATACCAAGATATTTAAATAAAACATCATTTAGAGAAAGTTTATTCAAGTCAGCAATAATCTTCTGATTCACACTGTCTTTAGAGAAAAAAAATATCACTTTTTTCATGATTGATACTAAGGCCAGAAGCTTCTTTACAAGGAAGATATCCTCTAAAATCATTGCATTATTTAAAGTAGCTCTAAAAAAAACAACAACAACAACAACAAATCATCATTATAAAGTAAATGAGAAATGAAGGAACCAGCATAACAAAATCCTTAGAAATGCGAAGTTTCAACGTTATTACTAAGAAGATTAGAGAAAGAGTTTATTATGATGCATAAGATATAAGGAGATAAATGACAATCTTGCCTCAAACTAGAGGAAGAGTTGAAAAACCCATGAAGCCCCCCATTGTAATAAATGGAAAAAGAAATATAAAATATGGAAGCCTTAATCCAAGGAACACAAGATTCAGGGAACCGCTTTTGAAGCATTCTTTTCACAAAAAAATTCTAGAAATAATGTCAAATACTTTGAAAATATCAATCTATGAATAAAAGTGTTTCTCCTTTCCTTGAGAATTAGATATTGAGAGGATATCAGAAGTAATGGTAATATTATTAGTAGAGATTTTCCTATTGTTAAACTTAAATTGACTGGGGTGGATAATAAAGGTATAACAATTTTAATTTTTGGAGTTAAATTTTTTGAAAAGATTTTGTAAAAGTGTTACATAAAGAAATGGGCATGAAATCTTTAATATAAGAGACATGAGGCCCTTTGGGATTGAGGACAAGAGCAATAGACTCAACTTTATTGGGAAGGAAGGAAGTGATAAAATAATACTTAATGGCCTTACAAACCATATTACCAATCATAAGCCATGATTTATTATAAAACTCAAAAGTGTACCCATCATGTCAAGGCATAGAGGAGTTAGGACGGGAGAAAATAATCCTTTTAATCTCATCATTAGTAAAGGGGCAATTAAGCCATAAATAAGATGATATGGGATTGTAGAGCCAGTAGGAATAATACATTTAAAGTCATAAACTTGAGAGGTTAAATAGAACAACTAAGCAAAATGAGAGACTAGGGCATGGCTGATATCAGTAAGAGAAGAAAAGCAACCATCAATAGTATTTATGCTCTAAATAAGATTATAATTATGTCTTATCCAAATTCTATTATAAAGAAATTTGAGATCAAACTCACCATTATGAAGCCACTTGGCCTTAGCCCTTTTGATAACCCATGAAGCTAAGGAGTCATGATGGAAAGTAAGCAAATCATTAATAGAGTTGAATTGAGAATTAAGAGAATGAGGAGGGTTGCTATTAATTAACACCAAACAATGCTTTTGTTGAATTTACAAATAAAAAACTTGAGAAGAAAGCGGAGAAGAAGAGGACCATGGCATAAGTTTAACCCCCCTTTTAAGATTCGTAATAATATTATACAATATATTAATGGGACCACCATTCTAATTCATAGAACTAGAAGAAATAAGAGCCTTCCAGAAATCATGATATTTAAGCTAGAAATTTTTAAACTAAAATCTATGATTAATAGACATAATTTTATTAAAATCTAAAATCATTATCAGAGACTCATAAGAGCTATGAACTTTAGAGAAGGAAAGAAGGAAATTCTCAAGCCACAAATCATTCACCAGCACCCTGTCAAGCTTAATATGAATGGGATAATAAACCCTATTATTATATCAAATGCAAAATAAGCTTGTTGAAGCTAAATCAAGAAGATTATTCATAAATATCATATTATTAAATATCCAAAGTTTACTTACAGCCACAAGGTGACCCCCTGCCTATCAGAAGGATAACCCACAACACTTGAAGTCTCCTAAAATAGCCCAAGGTTTGGAGTATCACCCTAATTCATAATAAGATGCTGCCAGAGAAGATCTTTATCATACGAAGAGTTAGTAGCATAAATTAAAGTTAAGTAGCATATAAAACATTTATTAAACCAAAAGCTATCTATGCAAATAGAAATAAATTTGGTAGTGAGAGAGTTCCTCTTAATCCATATACTGTCAGAAGAACATAGACCGAAGTTGTTACAACTATTCTTCATATCAAAGGCCATATCAGAAAAACATATCAAGTATTATCAAGAGAATTATTAAGGATCTTGGATTTTTTTTTTTAGAAGAAAATGCAAATTTCATTAAAGAAGAAACAAAAGAAGATACAACCTAATGAAGAGACTTTAATCCATCACATTTCTCCTTTAACAAAGAAAAAAATAAGGGAGGAATGTCCACAGTACTAATGTTATCCCAAACAAAATAACTAAACAAAGTAAAGTTAGCACATAAATTTACTAACTTATTACAACTTTTGGTAAAACTAAAGATAACTTGATTAAACTTTCTAAGAAAAGAAAAAAAGGTTTGAAGTTATCGCCTCCATAAGAACCTTGAAGAAATTTTATAATATTGAAGTTGTCGCCTTCAATAATTATACCTTCTGCTTCCAACATCCAATCTTGAGTAACATTCTCCAACGAATGAAACTATAAATTACAACTGAGCTACATCCCAATGTAAACCCTTGAAACCAAATGCAAGAAAGAACCTCCCTTCATGATCTTTGAATACACCACCAATACTAGTTCTTTTAGAATTTAAAAAAGAAGCATCAATATTCATCTTTAACCATTCAGGTGGAGGAGGATGCCAAGAGAAAGACAGCTTAGATAGCTGATTAACATCCCAGAATCCTGAATGAATATAAGGAGTTAATGAAGCTGAAGCAAAAGATAAATCATTTGCCGTAATAGAAACCAGACCATCTTTTTCACCATGTACAAATTTATTTCTACTTTTCCAAGTAAAGAACACTATTGTACATTATAACTTTCCTATAAACATATTATTATATGAGAGGACCCTCAACTTATTAATGCAATTCAAAAAAAAAAAAAAGCAAATCGAAACTTTAAAACCCCATTTATTCAGAAGCTTTATAACAAGAATAAGTAATGAACATCCAGCCACTATATGATCCACATTCTCCTCTGCCTCACATCCTCTTTTACAAGAGCT